TTCTTCCACGTACAGTGAGGGGTGATCGTCTGGTCAAGTGCTGCTGAAGGTGAAATTAAACGTCTGTACGAGAGCCATAGCGACCTTAAGCCGCGGAATTTAGCCCGGGGTTCATGGGTTTACGATTCGGCTTTCAGGTTTCGGTTTAGGGGTTTAGGGTTCACGTTTTGTTGCAGGTCAGCTTGTTGACTTTCAAGTCTGAAATCAGAGTTATGGGAACTCAACTTGTCAGACAGCAACCTTTTCTCGTGAGCTTAGTCTGAAATCAGCAGTCTGAAATCAGCTTCGTCTGAAATCAGCAGTCTGAAATCAGCATAGCCATGATGCCTGCCACTCCTGAGTGGCCAGCCTGTGCGTTCTCCCGCAAGGATGCGCAGAGGTTTTGCGAGATGCTGGCCGAAGCGCACGGTCCAGCCTATGTGGACGACACATTGAACGATGGTTTGCAGAAACTTTTTCAGCGGTCCTTGAAGGATCAGGAAATGGATGGGGACACAAGCAAAGATGCCTTGTCTGAAATCAGCCGTCTGAAATCAGCAGTCTGAAATCAGCATAGCCATGATACCTCACAAAGCGGCTGTTTTCACACAAACCCAAAACCCTGACAAAGTACGGGGGCTGAAAACAGCCACAATCCGGGGAAAAAGGCGAGGTAGAAGTAGTTGCCTCTTGGTTTGTGCCTTTTCCTAGTGCAGAGAAGTGCCTCCAGGCAACCTTACCCGGAGAATGCCCGAAAAGTGTGAGTGTAACCAAGTCATGCGCTGAGAGCAGGCAGGCTCGGGCAGGGGTGCTTAGGGTGCTGTTCTAGCCTTTTAGCCGCTACAGGGTCTCGACTAGGGTACGTGCAAACACCGAGCCTGTTGAGTTTGACACGGATAGAATGTGGATTGTGTTGTGGGCAGAAGTCACGATCTTGCTGTCGCCGGTGCTGCTTCGTCGGAATATAATATTAACATGTGCTTGACATTGAGCAAAAGGAATGAAATGAGCACGGGTGTCAGTGTGCGGAATGACAGCGTGAGTTTAAACCCAATGCCAAGGCCTGCAACCTTCAAACCGACCAGTGCTGCAAATCTTGCATGGAATTGTCTGTTTTGTTCTCGCCGTTGTGATGAATTGCTTCAGCCGCGCATTGCTCAAGCTGTTGTATTGTTTGTTCTTCCTTAGCCTTGAAACTTGCCCTTTCATTCCGAGGGCCATGTGGTTGAACATCCGTCAAGTCGCTGCTGGCCTGGAGACCTCTTTGAAGCTTTCCTACCCAGATACAGACAAGTTGATGTGGCTTTGGTATTTCCACAACCTCCAAGTTGTTCTGGACTCCTTTGTGGATTCCAACGAGGGTTCTGAGCAAATTTTCTGGCTGAGAGCTATGGCAGATGTGTGCCGATTGTTGCAGAAATACATGTGTGAAATGCAATGCGATTTCCGTCCGGATTATTGTGGGCCTTTTCCTCCAACTCCTCTGGGGAGGCTTGCTCCTCCTGTGTGCCCAGACCAAAAAGAAATGGGTGATCACTTCTTTGAGGCCAAAGAGTTCCTCCAGAAACATTCGGATGTCTTTCTCCGCCAGAGCTGCTGGTACAAGATCGCCTTTGAGATTGAGGAAACTTTGAAGGATCTCGAATATGTCCCTTCACCCACATCCAAGGACGATTCGGAAGACTAAGACTTGATTCAATGTGCCACAGTGGCCTTCGGCTCAGCATCTAGGGAGCCGGAATTCTGCAAGTGCCCCAGGCCTCATGTCAGCGACGGCGAATAGTGGAGCTTTCCCTCGTTGCCGCTATACTGTACGGTGCTGTAGTGGTGACCTAAGTAGAGTAGGTTCAGGTGGTCAGACAGAGGCGGGCCAGTTTGAGTGGGGGACCAGTCCATGTGTCGTTTTATGCTAGTAATGGGTAGCATTGAGTGGTGGGTGGTGAATCCCCCCACAGGTCCCTAATCACAGACTCGGCTAGCAAAGCCCTCTCAGCGAGCCGCTGATTCAGCACGTTCCTGGGTTGCGGGGAAAATGGTGAGCCGACTGCTGCATGAGTTTATAGTGGGGTTTAAGGACACGGTTTTATATGGTTTTGTCTGGGAGAGCAACCTTTTCTTTCTCGTGAGCTTAGTCTGAAATCAGCAGTCTGAAATCAGCCGTCTGAAATCAGCTTCGTCTGAAATCAGCTTCGTCTGAAATCAGCAGTCTGAAATCAGCATAGCCATGATGCCTGCCACCCCTCAGCCGAAGCGGCATTCCAACTAACCGAACGGGCGGGAGGAAAAGAGGGCTCCTACACCTTTAGACCCGAACAACCGTAAGCCCCATATCCTTTCACCCTGCGATAGGCTCACAGACCACGGGGCACATGTGATAGGCCGCGGAACCGTCAGCACTATTAACTCTACATTGTGTCCGTGGCAACTCTGAGCCAACTAATTAGTAACTTCGCATGACTACGCATGTGCATGTATGTGTCAATTTGTTGTCTCCGACATGCATGTCACCTTTGGCCAGCTCGATAAAGGCCACAGAGTCTGAGGGTGAGCATGCATCCCCCCCCACAAACTCTTGCCCGTGCCGATAGAACTTATGCTCAAACTAAGCGCCCCAGCAGTTGGACCAATGAGAACCAACCCAGGCCCAGGCCCGGACATCCTTTCACCGCATGAGTTGAGTAGGGAGTGCTTATGGGGCTGGGGCCTCCAGGTTTTGCTGAATGCTTTCCCTCCGGACCTCTCATATGTCGCTTCTTCCCGACTACTCACTCGCCTTAGACGTATGCGAAGCATCATACCACTTCGGCATTGTGGAGCCGTCCTTTGGAGTTACTGGGTTACGATTATGGACGTTCTTACGTCTAACATTGTCTCTCATGAATCTGATCGACCGCCCTACGTTAATGTGCTCGATAATAACAGGATTTGTATTTGGTCGGAGCAGGTAAGTTTCCGTATCTATTGTACATTGGACTGTTACTCGGGTATTTATACGGGATGGAATCTCCCCTACTCTTGGCCCTCCTGTGAACTTCGACTCGATACTGAGAGAGTGTGTTTCGGGGGAGTGGAAACTGATCGACGCCCTCTAACGTTGGTATCACACTTTCGTCTGATGCACCCAGGCCGACCCTCTGACCACTCATCGTCTACTGTTTCCCCATAATGCTGAATCTTGTGTCTCAATGCTTGGAGCTTGCTTGCTTCCTTGGGCTTTTAGACCGCATTTGTTGCACTGCTGTGATTTCCGTAGTCCCCTCCTTAAAGCACCTCCCCTCTACTGCTTCTTGGGCTGAGTGTCCTGAAACCCAGCTGATAATGCCACTTAAGGCCTGAGGTTTCGGATCCGGAACGAGTTACAAACAATGCCGCCTGGGGTGGCTAGAGTAGCTGTAGATGCACTGTACTCCCAGTTTGCACATAATAATAGATACGTAGCTGCCCCGTCATCACCCGGGTCCATTAAGAAACCCAAAACCACCCAATTCGACTCCTATACCTCAGAAGATACTCAAGCCACTCTCCCCTGGCGCTCAGACTTTGCGATCGGAGGGTGACAATGTTGAAGCAGGGACGTGTGTAAGACATGCCCCAAGGAGTGCTGGCAGGGGTTTGGGGTCTTTTCAGGCCCTTAGGGTTGCTTTCTCTCTGTGTGTTCTGACTCTGTTTCTAAGCTCCTGAACCCACAATTTTAGCATGTTTTATTCCTTCTTCCCCCCTTTAACCTCGATATATCTTGGGTCTCTTGGGGTACTTACTCGCCTTGGTAGGTCTCTGCGATTGATTGTAAGAAGCTAGATCCTAAGAAACCACGAACCCTCGTCAGTGCTACAGCCATGGCCGCAGTCGAACACTGGGTGTTGCACGATGCTGCACACTGATTATGACCCCGGCTGTCAGTGCAAAGAAAGGGGTCACTCTGCGCTGCTTCTGGCAGGCTTGTGGTACAAAGGCGATATGAGATACTGACAGCTGACTGCGAGGATGCATGCTATGTCGTGGATAATGAATCCTGAGAATCCTGAGAATTTATTGCATGATGCCCGTGCCACACGATGAGTTTCTGACAACTGTTTTGAATTTACTGCAAGCCAAAGCTGGATCACGATGATCAAGCACAACGAGATCCTGGCGCCCATCCTGGGGGTTACTGCAAGTGTTGTCAGTTGCTGTGATGTCTCTTCATAGACGAGCCTGAGTTCGCGCCATGGAAGTGTGTAAACCTAACACACGGCATGGTAATTTGAGACTCTGCTCGCGACAGCCATGATAGCTTTCTTCGGATTCTTCCTGGCCCAACGCTGGCAGCAACACTGCAACTTTGCGTGTGCATGTAGCCTCCATATGCATGACAGTAACCCCCAGCACTCAGTCCATGGCTCCATTCGGTATCACCCCTTTGAAAAGTACAGCTGGTCAATACGACTAGGAACAGCGTGTATCATCGCGATGATGATACTCAACCAGATCACCTGTACCCGAGCCATCTCGGCTCTTTATAGTTTTTACGACATTTGCCTACCTATTATGTTACCTCCTCGAACCCGAAGAAGTGATCTGAGTAGCTACATTCTTCCCGAGGTCTTACTGGTTCTAGTTTGCTTCAATTCTGTAAGATCTTGGGAAGGGTTCAGTCGCTGCGGATACAGTCACTTTATGTGTTGCTATAGCCTGTTGCTTCGTACTGTGACGGACCCATCATCGGTTTCACATTGTCAGACTCCGCATCAATTGCCTCGCCTGGATTGTCCGAGTGTGAGCGCCGAAACCCTAAACCTTTAAACCCTTAACCTCGGAGGTCCATCTTGACAGGTCTTGTAAGTTTGTTGCCCCGACGGAGGCTTTGTGGTTCACTGAAGCTCCAAACCCTGAACCAAACCCCATATTATAACCCAGCAGTGCTCAGATTCACTCCCGCCAAGTTGACCTTGACAGCCCCCAAACCCTAAACCTTTAAACCCGAAACCTCGGGGGTCTTTTTTGGCAGGTCTTTTATAAACTATCTGAACCAGAGCTTGGCCATGGAAGAGTCTGGAGAGGTTTTTCGGTCCTTCTCCTGGACTTTGCCGCATGGGCATTGCTTAGCTGGCTACTTCAACAGCAACAAAGAGGCCGAATGGTATTCGGACCGACTGCTTCACAATCTGAAGATTGATGGGACGAAGGATCATGTGTTCTTCCAGAGAAACAACGAGAAGTTCAAGGCTGAGCTGGAGGGCGCTGAAGTTTCTTAGTCGCATAACTTTAGCTTATTTTTCTGTTGGGGCTTCGGGTTTCGTAAAGAGCTTGCCTATTCGAAAGCAATGTTATGCCCCCCAATCCAAGGTTCCATTGTCGCAGCTGCATTACCGAGGGGCAGGGAGTGAAGATCCGCACAAAGCTGGGCACACAGTGGAGACAAGAGCTCTGCTGGTGCTGTTTGGGCTGTTGCCAGGACGCCGGAAGCTGCAACCCGAGACTAAAACTAAATCGCTGGTGCTGGTAGAGGAGATGCTGAGGCAAGCCTGTGCAAAAATAGCCCTGTCTGGCATTCAGAGAGGCAGGGTTTCGTGCAACTTTGTCTCCGATGTTGACAGCTCCCCGATTGCCCTCAGTCTGGATTTTTTTGAAGATGGCAGCACACGAAGTTTGGCCGACCTGGAGAACTTGCATAAGGGTGCAAGCAAGGGCTGGGACAAGCTTTCGCAGCACGCTTGGTGTGGTCGCAAACTTTCAACCACTCTTCAGCAAACGAACCTTTGGGATATCTACCTCTTCCTAATATGGAGCAAGCACAACCCGAGTTCGAAGATCTGGGAGCAGTTCTCTGTACACCTTTATCCCAAGGTTGTTTTCTTGGCTGGTTACTTGCTGGAGGCCTATGTCGATGAACTTGCCAACTTGCCACTGGCACCGCTTCCCCTTTTGAAAACCAAGCATGGAAACAGTCGACGAGTTCCGAAAGTGAACAAAATCATACTTTTACAACGCGTGAAGGCGCAAAAGCGCCACAGAGGAGAAGTCATGCAGACGCACACTGACTTGACGCCACCTCAGATCGCACTGGTGCGAGCTGAGGCTAATTTGGAAGTGGCTGAGTATGTCAAGCTCTTGACGACCGAGCCTCGGCATCAAACTTTACGGCTCGCTGTTAAAACCCTAGACTCTAGACCCTTAAACCTAAACTTTAAAGCACTATTTGAAAATAGAGTTTAGGGGTTAAGCCCGAAACCCTAAACCACGTTTTCATTCTGATGGTTAGGCCTTGGGCAGGTAGGGTCTGTTTACTATTTATAAAAGTGGGTTATCTTGTAGGGTTTAGATATTAATTTAGATTATTCTAGAACTTGAAGAGGTGTTTTATTTGAGATTGACCGTTACGCTTTTGCCTGCCCTGCTATGGCCTGCTGAGCACAAAGGTTTTATGTTTCAGGGTGTTGTTGAATTGATATGAGATAGATCTTTAGGCTTCTGGATGTCAGGGCCTGCTTGCAAGAACTAACTTACCTTGTCAGGCCTTTGCCGACACGCAGCATGTCCAGGTGTCCTGGGATGCGTCAACCTATGATGTGGAAACTTTAGTGGCGATCGCATACGATTACAAGAAGAACGTGTCGGGCTACTTACCCATACAAAACATCAGCCCCGTCCAGACAGCAGAGTTGCACGAAACTGTGAGGACATTGGCTGTGCAAGGCCGGATCACACGTGTCGAGAGTTACAATACAATGCGATCTTTCAGCCATGCCCTGAACTCAATTGGGCTTCCGCTTGCCGCCTTCGCAAAGCCTCCAGACCTACTTCTGGGGCCACTCCGGGCTGAGGAGGAACGGGTGCTGATGAACGGGACCTACTTCATCTATAATACCACGACACAGTCGATTCAAAGACAGGTACCGACTGCATGGAGTCTGGCGAAGCAGCCACTGTTGATCTCGGTGAGCGATCAGGGACCGCTGAACTGTCCTGGTCTCGATCACTTGCAGTTCAAGCTTCGTGGGTTCGTGCTTCCCTTGTATGATCAGAGTCATCGTACATGGAACGACTTGAAGTCGGCCATGAGGAGTGTGAAGCTCTTTCGCATCCTCCTGCAGTTCTCCATTCTCTACAACATGAATTATGGACCTGGAGGCACCAAGGCTTGGATGGCCAAGAAGCAACAGTATGCAGAGGAATTTAGAGCCAAACAGACAGCTGATGGCGAAATCTTCCTCAGCTACATGCCGTACATCTGCCATGAGATGGGCCTTTCGGAGCCAACGACTGCTGAGGAGAGGGAGGCACTCTTCGGGACGATCACTTCGCTGCAGACGCTGCAGCAGCATGGACCACTCGTCAAACTCATGAGATGGTTTTCTTACTTCCAATCGCACCAATTTTATGCTGGCGAACACTTCTGGACAAAGATGCTGATTGGGGAAGGTGGGCCGCCACAGCAAGGCATCCAGCCTGAGGCAGTGCTGACACCGGATATCTTGGCCGGCAATCTGGACGATCGAGAGGAGCTACGACAACTCAAGCTCAAGATGGGCTCATGGCGACTTGCACCGTTGCTCGTAACACCATGGACCTGGTGGAAAAACGAGCTTTTGGTTTCCATGGCGACGCCAGTCTGGAGCTGCTTCACACAGAAAGCACCTTGGGTTATTGCTAGTCGATGACATCAGCCCTGAAACCCTCAACCCCTCGAACTTCGGGGCCTGGCTCCGATAATAGCTGCACTTCCGCCAAAGACAAATTACCAGGCTTCGCAGACTACGCCTTCGATGAGTTCGTGCTGTAGTCGCTGCTGAACCTGTCTGAAATCAGCAGTCTGAAATCAGCCGTCTGAAATCAGCTTCGTCTGAAATCAGCTTCGTCTGAAATCAGCAGTCTGAAATCAGCATAGCCATGATGCCTGCAGAACTTGAGTCCTGAAACCCTCAATCCCTCGAACATCTAGCTTCTCAATCCGAAGCAATGATTAACTCTTGATGCAATTGAGACCCTACCAAACCGCTCCAGGCCCAGCAGCTCAAGTTGCCTCACGAGATCGCCGGTGACATCGCCAAAAGAGCTGGGACCAAGCTCTGGGCCGAGGAGATCCACGCTGTGATCGGGAATGGCTTCTTTGATGGGCCTCAGAAACTGTACCCGGCTCGCTTTCTTTCAAACGAGGAGGAAGGACAGTGCATCTCTTTGCACTTTCGGTACCTCATGCAGCTACTTCAGCTGCCTGGCCTTTTTTATTTTGGTCCTCGACACCTAGTCAGGACTTGCTGAGCCTTACCATCCTTCTGGGTTGAGTCCATTTCAAGGTTTATAGGGTTTAAGAGTTTAAGGTTTAGGGTTTGGCGCTTAGGGTTTAGGTTTAGGGTTCAGGGTTTACAGGGTTTAGAGTTTAAGGTTTAGGGTTGAGGCTTTAAGCCCCCACACTACCGAAGACTGAATAAGGAGACGTGTGCAGAGCTCCGCTTCGTACTACCTCCGACCGCCTTTTCGATATGCTGGGGCACTTCTTGCAGAAAGCAGGGAGACCACCCTTCGCCAGATGCATGCCGACTGGGCAGCCGTCTTGAAGGCCGAGAAAGCCATGGCTGGTGGAGCAGGCATGGAACCCCTGAAGGAGATGCATTGGCGGCTGAATTCCGTCAACAGGCTGATCCACTTGATCCGGGACATGGCCGAGGTCGCTTCAACAACAGCCGAACGCCGGGCCTACAACAACCAAGTGGTTGAGCTTCTGACCTTCGTCAGCACGCATCTTGCCGACACAGTTATCGTGGAAAATACACATCAGATGGCCAAAGACGCGCTCAGGGACGCACGCCACTTTCAAAAATCTCGGACAGGGAAGCAAGTTGCTTGCATACGCTGCAGTGCAATACCGAGCCGTGGTGTGCCCTGCTTGAAGGTGTCAGATGATCAGAAAGCCACTGCTTCTGCGGGCAAGTCCTCGAGCTTTGACAAGCTCACGCACCCCCAACACCCATGCCTCCCGCCTCAATCTATGTCTGCAAACTCTAAGGCCCTAAGACTCTCAGGATCATTAAGGGCTCTATTTCCGACTACCCTAACTCCGCAAATCCTAAGGTCCGAAGACCTTAAAATTTGCTAAAGAAAGCTCTTCTTTGTCTTCGACTCAGGCTCTCAAAAAGGAGTTCCAGAGGCTCATGGAAACTAAAACGAAGCAGCATACGTGGCCGAGCACGACCCAGCAGATGGAGTGGCAGCAAGTTGTGGCTACAGAGTGGTTCCTCTGCTACATGCAAGATGAGGACAAGTTTGCAGCTGGCCCCAACTCTGCTTGGCTGTCTGTCTTGGCTGGGGCAGCAGGCGAGGTGGTAGCATGCCAGCGTGCAGGAGAGATCATGTTGATCTTGGCTGTTGGATCTTATGGCTTCGCTGCTTGGGACCTGGAGCTGGCGGCAGGAGTCCGCACGGCTGCTGGGATGTCGGCTTTCCGGCCCTACAGGCACAATGCCATCCGATTCCACCACATCACGGAGCTGGAGGACTGGGTTTCCGTTCCTGTCAAGCCTGGCCTGTCTGGCCCGCACGGCCCGCTGCACCTGGAACAGACCTCTGAGGCCATGTCGCTGCCCTTGGCTAGAATCCATGCCGGACTCAATCTGACATGCAAGCAGTGCCAGGACCTGTTGGCATTGTTCAAAGTCAACTTTCGCAAAAACCAGTCACGAGCCAGCTTGCACGGCCTAATCCTCGATCTTTTCTTGGAAACCGAGCACGAGAAAGAAGAGGCCAGGAGGAAGATGGCTGCCTGCTTGCTTCCACAAGAAGAAGAACACGCTGAGGACAGTGACATGGAGGAGTTGTTGGAACAGCTCGAGGATCTCGAGAATCAGGGCGATCCAGAGATCCAGAAAGAGAAGGAGAAGATCAAACAAAGGAGAACTGGACGGATCGCTGTCCCCAGAGCTGCTGGTCCCGACGAGGGAGAACAAGTTCCGAAACGGAAGGCTAAGGCCAAGGCTCCGCCAAAGCAACGGAAGAAAGGCTTGCTCGAGCCGAAGATGAAGGCTCATCTAGGGCACGGGTTTACAGGCTGAGGGCTTTGGATTTTGCTGGGTTTGGAGTTTAGTTTCAGAGTGAAGTTTAGCTAGCTCTCGGGCTCAGGGTGATTCTCTGCAGGCACGACGGAAGAAAACTCTGAAGGCCAAAACGGCAGCCCGTCGCCGAGAGGAGGAAGCCAAGAAGAAGGAATCGAACTTGAAACCTTTTTGTTGCTTAGGGTCTGGGCTAGGGTATCTTGGGAACTAGGGTGGAGGTTCAGGTTGTTGGGTTTAGGGTTTCGTGTTGAAAGCTTTCAACCCTGAACCCCACACACAAGACCTGAAGCGCAATCTGTAAGGCCGAAATTGAAATGGACCAGGGAGCCCATGACAGAGATGAGGAAGCCATGTTTGCAGATGAGGAGGCCATCTTGACGGTGTCGAGCTGCTTAGGGTTTGGGCTAGGGTATCTTGGGAACTAGGGTGGAGGTTCAGGCTTTTGGGTTTAATCAGGTGTTGCGGACTGAAGGCTCTCAACCCTGAACCCCACACCCAAAACCTGAAGCTCAATCTGGAAGGCCGAAATGGACCAGGAAGCACCTCGCAGAGAGGAGGAAAACATCTTTGCACAGGAGGAGGCCATCTTGACGGTGTCGAGCTGCTTCTGCTTTGGGCTAGGGTATCTTGGGAACTAGGGTGGAGGTTCAGGCTTTTGGGTTTAGGTGGTTCGGATTGAAGGCTCTCAGCCCTGAACCCCACACTCAAAACCTGAAGCTCAATCTGGAAGGCCGAAATGGACCAGGAAGCCCATCGCAGAGAGGCAGAGGAGGAGGCCATCTTGACGGTGTCGAGCTGCTTCCGGTTTGGGCCAGGGTATCTTGGGAACTAGGGTGGAGGTTCAGGCTTTTGGTTTTAGGGGTTTTCGGTTTAGGTTTTTCGGTTTAGGCTTTAGGGCTCTCAACCCTAAACCCCGAAACCCTAAACCCGAAACCAAAGACGAAGCCCGCCGCCGAGAGGACAAAGCCATTGTCGAGTTTGAAACTTTTGTGTGATTTGTCTAGGGTTCGGGCTAGGGTATCTTGGGAGTTGTGGTGTAGGTTTGGTTAGTTTGGGCTTGGGCTTTCAACCCTCAAACCGAAACCCTATTCCCGAAAGCCAATCTGACAGGCCGAAGAAAAGGCCGAAGAGGAAGTTTGGGCTCGGGTATTTGGGGAATATGGTTCAGGTTTGTGTTGTAGGATTTCGGGTGTAGGCTTGAGGGCTCTAGGTGCTGGTGGTGCTGCTGGTGAGGGTGTGGCTCTATACTAAACCATCAATCCCCAACCCGAAGTACCAAACCCGAAACCCAACCTGGAAGGCTGATGAAGAGGAAGCCCATCGCCCAGAGGAGGAAGCCGAGAAGGAGTCGAGTAAGGCTTGAGGGCGCGAAACGATCTATCCCCAACCTTAAGTACCAAACCCAAATCCCAATCTGGAAGCCCCATATGGACCGTCGCCTACAAAAGGAAGCCTATTTGTGGTTTAGTGTTTGGGGGTATCCTAGGGCGAGGGGTTGAGGTTTTAAGGTTTCGGCTTGAGGGCTCCTCAACCCAACCCAAAACCCAAAGCCCGATCTGGAAGGTCGAAGACGAGGCCGCAGAGGAAGCCCGTCGCCGAAAGGAGGAACCCACTCTTTTTGTGCTAAGGTTTGGGCTAGGGTATTTTGAAGTATCTTGGTAATATGGTCTGGTTTGGGCTTTAGGTTTCAGCCTTCAGGGGCTTGCCTTTTGTGGGTCTAGGTATCGGGTTTCCAGTGTCGGGTGCTGAGTTTTGGCTGGCCCTCAGAATGCTGCCGCTTCCAGCAGCCTGCCTGCTCCCAGTGCCGGTCCTGCCCCATCCGATGCAGCCCTTGGGACTAAATTTTCTTTGCTCTATGTTGAGCTGCATATCAACTTGAGTTGTCTGTTTTGTGAATTGAAACTCCCTGGCTCCCTCAGACCTCGCCCCTAACACTATTCAGCTGAGGAGGATTCTGTGGTACCTGCTTCCAGTCGTCGGGGTGCACCGAGAATTCACAGCTCTCCAATGGAACTTCTTGACCAATTATGTGCTCCGCAAGCTCGCATGACTCTCAGGGTCAACGATTACAGATGGAACGTCGAGTTCAAGGCGACACACACATATTGGGTGGAAGAGTTTGGAAAGAAAAGCTTCTCGAAGACGTTCACCAAGCAAAATTGGCAGGATCCTCTCAGGCAGGTACACTGCCATATGTGGACCAAATGGGATCTTGCAAGGGATGACTTCCCGCTTGATGAAGGCATCGAAGAACAACACCCTGGTGTGGTGGACGCTGATGTTCTGCCTGGCTCCGATAATAGCTGCACTTCCGCCAAAGAAAAACTACTAGGCTTCGCAGACTATGCCTTCGATGAGTTCGTGCTGTAGTCGCTGCTGAACCTGTCTGAAATCAGCAGTCTGAAATCAGCAGTCTGAAATCAGCTTCGTCTGAAATCAGCAGTCTGAAATCAGCAGTCTGAAATCAGCATAGCCATGATGCCTGCCACTCCTCAGCCGAAGCGGCTTCGGGTCTGAAATCAGCAGTCTGAAATCAGCAGTCTGAAATCAGCATAGGCATGATGCCTGCCTCACTCCTCAGCCGAAGCGGCATTCCAACTAACCGAACGGGCGGGAGGAAAAGAGCAAATGGGGGAGGCCGCTAACCCATGATTAGGTTATATCTCTTTCTGCTGAGCACATGCTTTCTGTTCTCTTGGATCGACGACAGAATGACACTGCCCATGGCTCTCTCGAAAGCGTTTGCTTGGACGGCACACTAGCAATGAGTTGAGGTTTTGCATTCCGGGTAAAGTGTTCTCTCGAAGAATGTCATGTACTTGGTCCCTTGTCACGTGCCATGTCTTGGTTGGCTTGCTGCTTGCTTTCGACTCGCCCTACCCATCCTGCATGCCCCAGCTCCGTGGTCTTACAGACCGCGCTCCAGTCGGGCTCGGACCCGAGTTATGGGTCCTTGACCGTGCGGGACAGTGTCGTTGGCCGGCGCTGGGGATTTATTCTGTGCTCGCCTAGCAAAGTGGTGTGCCCACGGCAGGTGATTCAGCGCAGATTGCAGGGAAGGCCCGACTACTAAATACTATGCCACGTACCCGCGCCCGCGGGCAAAGTCTTGAAGCACTTTGCCCATCGCTGGAAGTTGCCCGCGTGGCCCTGCATGGCATCTTATGTCACACCAACCTTACCAACAAGTCGCGGTGTGTCCAGTTTTGATTCACCAGCCGCGCTTGCATGCCGATGGCCGGGCATGGGGTCGCTTTGGGGGACCGCGGAAGACGGAACCGACGAGGACTTGGGG